TTATATTTTAAGCAACGTTTTGCACAAGTTGTGCTTTATCAAATGATATATATATGTAAGTAGGTTTATTTTCAGAACTCAAAGTTTGAAATTTAGACAGAAACAAAAATAATAATTTTAATCGAATTGTTTAATAACATATCAATGTTATCAATATGTAATAATAACTTAATATTTTCTGTAATCGTTATGAAAAATTATAAATACATTCTTATACTAAATTTATATTCCAGTTTTTTGTGTCTGCTGTTTCCAGTAATTGCTGTTGGCAATTATGTATGTAATATAACACATTTTTGTATTATTATGAAAAAAAAACTTGTTAATTAATTATTTTTCAACGTTAAAAGTTTATGATAGCCATAATAGACAAGTTCCTCTTCTACACACATAGTAGAATTAATAATGATTTTAATAGCGTCAATTAATAATAACTAGCGATGCATCACATTAATTAAATTAAATAGTATTACATATTTTAATTACATTTCAAATGGATTATATTGAACAAATCGCTACCGTTGAAATATGTGAATATTCAAAACTGGAAAACATTACGGCTTCAATGAAGACCCTATTGTAACTCTATTATTCGAAAAAAAGGTAATTTATTAGCAATAATGGTTAAAAAGGTTACTCCGTAAATTGAGTCTAGGGACATTTTATAAAATAAAAAAAATATTGCTAAAAAAAACGAAAACTTACACTAGAAAAATAGCCTTGAATAAGAAAAATAATAAATCTTGAAGACGAAAGGAATTCCATCACTTTAATTGCCTTTCTTTTGTTGTTGGTAGCGAAGTTAAATGATGTTATTCTAAGATCTTTTTACGTACTTTAGATTCGTGGATTTTTTAAAATATTTTCTTTCTCAAGAAAGTAATGTTACGTTATTTTAATATACCAAATATAATTTTAATTTTGTTTATATAATAAAATTTAATATAGTTCTCGAAATGTTTATTCAACCTGACATCAGAATAATTTGTTTCAACCTTCAAGAGAGAATAGATTGGAAAGAGCCAAATTAGAGCAAAAAAATGCTATGTGATATTTTTTATTATTTCTAAAATTATGATACTGTAATATTTTAAACATATTTGGCAAAAACTATCAATTTGGGTTGTTCTATGTGCGAACCTCACTTTTGTATTAAACACACCAATTGTTCAATTTACGAAGTGAACACAATACCCACACCTACTTTGGGTCATGTGTTACCGACAGTCAAGTACGTCGTTAAATCGAACTCTTAGCATACATCATGTATGTATGTCGTAAACTTTTTTATTAGAACTCATATTTTTATTGAATGGAACAAATGTTTTGAAAAATGATATTTTACAAAATAGTGGATTGACCAGATTTTTAACAAGCAACAAAGCAATTGAGGAAAAAACGTAAAATTTACAAAATTTTCGAAACATAACAAAAAATCCCACGTAATACTTCTGTCAGAACGTTTTATAGTGTAATATATTTTTAGTTTTTCCATTGAACCAAAAACAAATGGCTTAACGATTCTCAACTACAATTAGTACGACTATTTGCATGGAAAAAGTATCGGCAGAGCAACCTTTTATTACAGGTATTTAATTATTGCAAATTAATTATAATTATCTAAGTGCGACATAATTTCTTGATGTTGAAACATAAAAGGTCCCCATTCGGTTCGTTAGAAGATAAGTAATAATATACGTACAATAGATATTATACGGGTCAGTCCCGGCACTGGCCCTCTCTACCGGTGACGCTGTAACAGCCGCAGGGCTAACAGCATATTCATTACAAAAAAAAAAAAAGATATTATCTCCGTTTAATTCGTAATAATGTTATCAAATCAGATTTATTTAACACGTATACGTAATTTAACGAGATGTACTTTGTATCATTATTATTTATTTAAGAAAAAAATATTTCCTTTTTACCTATCTATTCATATTTTTGATTTAATTCTTTATTTTTAAAGCACAATACTTAGCAAAGACAACATAATATTATATAAATTTTGTTTATCGTATATATATTTTTAAACTCACTAATGCGTGATATTACTCCTTGTGAGACGAAATGCTGTACTTTTATATAATAACTTATTGAATAGCTTACTATATACTGTATATGTATGTTACATATAAATGTACATACAGTTTTACTATATGTATGTATTGCAATACTTAATAAAGTATTTAAATATTAAAACAGTACGTAGAAGTAATACTTTAAGTTGATATAATATTTACATTATATTACATAAATATTGTATAATAAAATTTATATACATTTTTTATTATACTGTGTTTCATGGTTAGTCCTTCTACTTAATAAACGTAAATGTAGAATAAAAAATTACTATTTTACCATTACTTTTCTACCCTAAAAGAGTTAGTAGTTACGGAATATATAAGCAATATATTTTGACTAGTATTTTGAGCTTGTAAATGTAAAGCGTTCTACTGAAGTATGGGAGCGTTGAGTAAAAATCCTGGCTCTACATGAAATCTGACAACTTATTGACAAGGTGAAGCAGTGGACTCGCCTGGCTACCATTTTTAATAAAAATGTTTTTGGGTGGATAATAATGTACAGTTAATTAGTAAATATATTATGAAATAATTTTTCAACATCTGCATAAAGTTTTGTTTTATAACGTTTGCTAATATCTTTAAAGAGATTTTTGTAAGTTATATAATTGTAATAACTGTTTTGTTTTTATGACTTCGATGTCACTCGTAATTTTTAAAGTTTTGATTGTTTTTTCTTAAGATTAAATTGTATTTAACTTTATTGCCGGTATTCATACAAAGCCATACTAGGTCTTTAATTTTATGATATATTTTCTTGAACTATGTATATTTTTATGAGTTAATCTTGTTCCGTTACCAAATTTAGGCAGATATGATGAAGTTTAAACATTAACACGCAATTGTCATTTCGCCAAATCCAATTTGGAAATTCAGTTATATGATTAACAATACTATGTTGTTCGTAAAGGTAAATGTAGTAGACCTTACATGTATTTTGATTTCAACAATTTCTATTCAAATCATCAAAATCGAATTATTGTTGTACGGAACAAAAGAAGTATAAAAAATGTAAAAATATGATTGTCACAAAGTAATGTCATTTTATAAGGCATTTACTAATCATTTTTGTTATTTTATACCTTACATGTTTGTACGTTTATTGATTTGGGGTCTTTTGGCAATATTTGATTAAATCCTTTGCTAGTAAAACCGCTTCCGAAAGGGATTTGATTACTGCACTCTCTCTAATCTGCTAGTGTCTCTAACGCTCCTTCAAACTCCATAGTGTACTCTGAATATAATTTTAGAATTGTTAAGTACATTCGCATTCACTGATGTTTTCACGTTGCTGATCTGTTGATGTTTTGATGACGCAAATTCTAGGGGCTTCGTCTATTAACAAAATAGCTATCAATAACAAGCAGTGTTAAATTATAATCAACCGATTTATCGCCGGCGTAATTGACTGATGGATCATATAACTAATAATAACATAAAATTTTGCGTTTGATCATCCACTTTTAAATCTTTCATCTTAACTCAACGGTATGTTTTGTTTGAAAATTTTTAATATTATCGTTTTCAAACGTTCCTACAGAAGTATAGTATATACGTTCATAGTATTGGTTAGCATAGTACATATTTGCATTATATTTTCATCATGAGTTGGGTATGGCCTATTTAATATAATTTTTTTATTATGTACTTGGTTCGTCACAAGTTTATTTCTAAGGAATATCGTAATATTTTTAGAGTATTTCAAAAGGGAATAAAAATAATAGGTATATAATTTTAAAGTTATTCAAAGTTTATTAAAGCGTGGTAAATTTAACCTACATTTACCTGAGTAAAAACTTGCTAAGGAATTAATTTCGTAAAATATTTTATCAGAACTTAATTAATTTTAGTTGTCCAAGTATTATTTTAAGTTGTTTTTGGATTATTTCTTTAGAATGTTTCTGAGAGATATATATTTTAGTAATTTAAAAACCATTAAATACCAACATTTGAAAATTTACTCAGGTATATAAATGAATGAAACATTAAATATTTAGGAAAATATTTTTAAATGAAATATTCTTAAAGCTACCTTGTAACATTACTTTCGGCATGAAATTTGTTGTCAAAAAGAAATACAGAAATATATATTTTTTTTATAAACAGCACATATGTATTTATTTTTGTTAAGGAACAATTTATTTTGTTGTAAAGATTTTATAAAAAGTATCATTATGTATTGTAATTTTACTCTCATGAGGATGATGAAATATAAATGTTATGAAAAGCTGGTATTTCTTTTTATATCTCAGCTCTTCCATCATAAAGCTAAATGCGTTGTCATTATTTGAGCAAAAACAGTTGAGGAATCATATTTTAATAGATATGTAGTGCGCAATCGATTCTTAGCTAGCTATGAATGCTTTATTCATAATAAAGATATTATAACCACTTACAACATGCATATATTACAATCTGTATGTGTATTAACTAATATTAACATAAATTTTATACATTCTTTTTAAACACATATATTGTATATTTTTTTAAGTTTACTAATTACCTATTAATAACGCAAAAATATGTAGTAATACGTAAATAGTCAAAGAACATTTTTTATTTAACAAAAACAAACTACACTTCGTGAGAAACTTTGAGTAATTGCCTAACAGCTCAACCGTATTATATAACACGCGGAGGCCACATGATGGATATTGGACAAATATATTTTGGATCCAATAGACATCCTTCCTTGACCAGTGAATGAAACCTTGAGTCTAATATAAGATTTTCAGATCATGTTGAATTCATCTTTTTTATTTCCTCGGAAACTGTTTGCATTATTTTAGTTTTTATGTTATAACTGACACATTTTTTTTGTTACAGATAGTGAAGATGGAAATGGGTGATAAGAATATAGAACATCTATAGTACACATCCAATTCCGATGCCTAAATCTTTAGACAAAGTCAGAGCATGTCTAACGCAACTGATGCGTACTGCGTGCCCGGCGCAACCAACTTTAATAAAGCCTACAGTAGGCTTCACGGTTACATCGCTCTAGTAATATGCATTATTGGGTCTGCAACAAACTCAATAAACATAACTGTACTCAGTCGCCGGGAAATGATAAGCTCTACTAATTCAATTTTGACAGGACTCGCTGTCGCAGATCTTCTTGTTATGCTGGAATACATACCATATGCTTTACATATGAATATTAAAATCGGACCTCAAGTAAATAAAAATACGTATGCTTGGACCGTCTTCGTATATTTTCACTCTATCTTCAGCCAAATATTCCACACAATCTCTATCTGGCTAGCAGTTACTCTTGCTGTGTGGCGGTATGTAGCTATAGCTTTTCCACAGAAAAACAGGACATGGTGCAGCAAAAGAAATACAACTTTGGCAATAGTGAGTGCATATGTTATGTGTCCATTTTTATGTCTGCCAATATATTTCGCTATGAATATAGTGCCAAGTGAAGTTACACCACATAATAATACTGAATTTGCCGAAGACTTATTGCTACCACATAATAGAACAGTGTACGTTTTAGAAATGTCAAAAAATAAAGAATTAGTTACGGCAATAATGTGGATTTACAGTGTTATTTTAAAACTAGTACCAAGTATAGCTTTATCAGTTCTTAGTACGTGCTTAATATCAAAATTAACGACAACCGAACAAAGAAGGCAGAAACTGCTCAAACGATCAACGATTGGGCCTAACGAGGCAAGTAAACTTTTAATTAAAAAACTTAGTTATTCTTTTAAAGCTAAACATTTAGTATTTCGCAATATTTAACAATTGCTATTAATAATAACGAGAGTTCAATTAATTTTCAAGAATAATTATATAATTCTAGGATAAAAATTTAATAACTGAATTATTAATTCAAATTCTTTTTGAGGCAAAATCTTAACTACATTTGAAATCTGACTTGATGATGTGAATGAAATGAAATAAAAATCCAGATAATTTTAAATTCTTCATTCATTAAATAATGTCCCAGTTGAAATCTTACTTTACTGTGTCTCATTGCAACTATCCATCTTCTCCACATTTTATTATTTCTTCGGTGCTAATTATGCTTTACCTTTAAAGATCCTATTTCTTCTGCAATTTATATATGCTCTACTGACTACAGAAACTGGAACTGAACTAGCTACTGGATTTTTCACAGTCATTACCCTCTCTAATCCAGGCGTTCTTTTTCTGAGACCTACTTTCCATTTCTTCCTTAGAACTTGTAATTTGTCACTCTCGATGTGTAATTTCGCCGACTCTTAAAATATTACGTCACCATCAACGAAGTGTCAAGATATTGTTTTCTTACGAGACTTTATGTGATGCTAAAATATCCAATACCTTAACAGATATATATTACGAATTGGTTATTAATGTTATGATTAATGAGAAAGTATATTTATGACGTGGACTTATTTCCTATATTATTATTATTTTTTATTATAATTATTTTTCAATCCAGCACAATATTATTCTGTAAACATAAATTTAATGATCTCTTTTATAAAATGCCTCAGGTTTAAACTTCCAAACATGTGCTCCAAGTCAGAAAAGTTAGGGTATGTTGCGTGGGTTGGTATTTGAAAATTTCAAACTATAAATTTAAATATGATAGAAATAGTTTTCTTCTCAATTTGAAGTATTCTAAAACTAGAGGAATAAGTTTCTCACCGACGCCATAAATAACGGTGTTGTATTCAAATTTTTTTAAGTATGTATTGCAACAAACAGAATCATGAAACGCATACTCGTAGAATTAAAAAAAATTAGGCCTTTTGATGAAATCTAAAACATTTCTTATGTTAATTGTAACCTTATACTAGTGTTAAAAATATTTATTAAGCTTTTATAAATCAAAATTACTTAACTCTAATAAATTATTAGATATAAATGATCAAAAACTTGCTGATAAAAATAAAGTCATATAAATAGCTTTTCTCCCACTGCCGGCTGTGCGACGGCCATCATAAATATGAATTCAGTATAACATTTTCCTTAACAACTTTGGCGTAGAATGAAATATTGTTACGGTCAAAACTGTGATATATTTATTGTATTGAAACAGATTCACTAAATATATTTCCATCGAAATAGCAGCTACCTTAATTATTTATAATACTGCTTTACTTGAATCGTTAATTTGAATTTTATTTTGAATTATTGTTATACAACTGTGTTCAAACGAATGAAAATATTAGGATATATATTGGTGTTTGAAAATAACAATTTGACAATTAAAACAGGGTTATGCTTTTAATCTCTGTGTATATAAGTGAGAGTACTTAATTGGAAAACCAGTTTCCTAGTAAATCGCACGTTCCCGATTTTCTCCTGGTATTTAATCGATATTTTAAAAATCAATAGGTAAAAACAAATTATTTTTTGTTATTCGAAGGACATCCCGGGGGATTCAAGTAAAGGGGTAAAAAAAGTATTTAAAGTGTTTGTGAGTAAATACTTAACAAAATACAGACGACTGCCTATTTAAAGGATTGAAAACGGACAAAAAGAAGATTAAAAAGAATTAGCAGTCTGTGTAATGTTAGGGCAAACGGTAATATTTTTATCTCTACTCTTATCACGCAGACATTTTATTTTTTCAGACTTTTTACTTTCTTTATTTTTAATATATTCAAAATAAAATGTTTTAAAACTCATACATGTATATATATACTTATAGTATGTATATTCATTACAATACTGAGTGTATTTTATATTAACTACGTTTTTTTAATTGAATAATAATAACTAGACTATGAGCCCCTTATGTAAAAATCGGTCATTGTTTTTTTTGACACCATGTAGCCATATAAGTGTTGAAATCAGTACTCATACTTTTCAATTCGGTTAAAAGTAATACAGGAATGGTTTATGGTATTACTATAAATAATACGCTTGATATCGCAATGTTTACTATGTATAAAATTTTATGCGACTCTGTTATAACAAGTATTCTCTTCGTGTGTTTAACACTCAGTAAAGTAAACAAATACATAATATAATACTTAGACAAATTTACTTTAAATTATTAAATTAAAATGTGTTTGACGTCATCGTTATATCGTCAAAACATTTTTTTATATTCATTATGTCAAGACTCCCGTTTTAAGATCATATAATTATGTTTAATATAAAAGATGTTGTTTGGTGGAATTAAAAAGAGTTTTTGAGATTGATTTAATATTGATATGTTATTGTTCTGTTTGAGATTAAGTTTTCCCTTTAGCCGGAGAAACAATGTCTTGCGGACGAATCGGCAGCTCGTCGGTCGAGTAGAACGGACAGAACAACGCGCATGTTACTAGCAGTTCTGGGACTGTTTCTATCTACTGAAGTGCCTCAAGGACTCCTCGGTCTGGCCAGCGCCTTAGCACCTGACTTCTTCAAAAGTTGTTACAGCATGTTTGGTTAGTACATATTATTAAAATATAAACACTACCAAAACTCATTTGTTATGAAATCATTATAATAGTAAACATTTTATAATCCTCTTGTTAGCTGACGTATTATTGTATAGTAGTAAAATATTTCAAGTCTCGGTTTCGATACCTCATAAAATTGTTGTTCTTACAATCAGACTGAAAATTGGGATGTACTTATAGGTATAGGTTTCTTTAAAACTCATATAAAACACTATTTTGTTTCTCTTTAATGAATAAGTTTTCATCAACTCAATAGCCTGATTAATTATTTAAAATAAATAAAATAAAAACATCTTGAGTAATTTGATACAACATATTTTAATGAGATTCCAATGTCACCACAGTACACAAAAATAGCTAATATACTGTCTCGTGCAGACAGCCAAATTTAATTTCAAATACTACAAAAGTGGTTTATAATAGTTTCATGTCTGTCACTTTGTCAATCCGACCTTCACAAATCATGTGAAGTAAACGTTTTTAGCGTTTTCTTATTATTTAGTATCTAGCTTTGACATGAAAATGTAAACAATGGAAGTTAAATAAACGCTCGAAATAAATATTCGCCGCTCTTAAATATAACTTTGTCCATGGACCATTGACGTTAAATTACATAAGATTATTTACTCGCACCTATAAAAGTCACAAGTTATATATTTTATAACAACACTCTGACTTATACGATTAAGCCCCATTGAGGGTAAATCTATATAAATCTTTGATAAATGAACAATTATATCGAAGCTTAAATGAACGGACTTTAATAAAACAGAATATAATATAATTATAAGAACGAAGATAGAATTAGAGGAAAATATATATTAATTTTCCTACACAATTTATGAGTAATTGATGCGATATGATGGTATTATGATATAAATATAAATAAATAAAATATTCTATATCTCATGATGTAAGTTTTGACAATCGGAAGGTATAGATTCTGGATAAACTTTTAGATATGATGATTTAATGTGGAAAAAAATTACGAGGAAAACCCATTGAAAATTATGCTGTAATAATAAACGCTATACGTCACTATGGAGATTAATATTTTACGAAAGCAATATATCAATCAAGTTTTATGTATGCAATGAATGTTAATAAATTTTTATGCGTCCGCCTATCTGGTTTCTTTGGTTATTTTTGTCTAATTTACAAAACATTTTCAAACAATAGAATCTGTTATTTATGAACTATGACGTCGCATATGCTATATTTGCTTTCAGATGGAAAGCAGTGCCCTTGTCCTATAAAATGCTTCGACAATAAAGTAACCTAATTAGTTAAAGAGTAGAGACTACTTTGCGAGAGAATTGATTATAATTTTATAGCTTAAAAATTGTTTTTAAAACTTTTTTATCCTGGTCCTTACGATGATAAACAAAGTTGTGGATAAATTCTTTATATTGTGAGAACAATTCATGTCGTTATATAAAAACCTTCTATATTTTTATACCATTTCTTTTTTGTTTAAATCCATACAATGGATACATAAATACAGTCTTGTCTTTGTACCTAAAAGATTTTGCTCTGTAAAATACAGCAATTAAAGATAAGATAGCCTGTTGTATGTCACGATCTTATATTTTGTTTTCTATGTAAATATTTGATATTGTCTGTATGGTTTTCGGTTGATTGTACTGAGAATTAAGTACAAGTCTTTGAACTGTTTCATATAAAAAATACGATAAACGTTTTATATTTTTTATAATATTTATTAATTCTAGTAAAATTAGTGAAATAAGCCTAGTTTAATGCTCCTTTTTAATGGTAGACTACAGATAGATAGATAAAAATATTAAACAACAAAAAATGGTCTATTCTGATTGGATCATTCTTTGCAAATATTTCTAAGCCTCGGTAGTTAAGTTCATAGGTAAATTTTTTATATGTTTTAAACGTATACTGTTGTTAAGAAAAACAATAATATAACATTATTTCTTCCTAGGAGACCTCATGGACGTACTGGCACTGTTCACATCTTCAGTGAATTTTGTACTATACTGCAGCATGAGCCGGCAGTTTCGCTGCACCTTCTCAAGACTCGCTCGAGGCTTGGTATACGCTGCCGAGGAACCAGCAAAATTTGGTACTAAACTTGAACCTACAACGCAGGTAGGCAATGTACAACCCTCCCAATTTATAATGCTTACCACCATATAACTTTAGAAATTCGACGTTGTAGACATTGTTTTTTATTTCGTTATATTTTGTTATTGTAGTGTAGAGTAACTCATTAGATATTTATGACAAATTGGAGGGAAAAACCTTGAGTTTTTATCTTTAATGATAATTGAAATTTCATGTCAGGTTACTTGATGGCGGACGTTTTTGAATTAGTCAATTGAAACAAAAGATGTTCAGTATTTCACAGGCTTCATTTTTCGACAAATCTAAAACCAGTAATGCTGGTATGGCTGCTTGGTGTTTGAACTGGACAGTAGCAACCCCAACTGTAACGGGACACTAGTTCAAACTAGGCAAAGGTACAGTAATGCGCTCGTGAAAACAAAATAAAAATGTATATGTCGCTACATTACGTTAAACCTTAATATAATCTATACTAATACAATAATAAGTACCTTAAAATTTTCGTTTACCGATATATTTATAAAAAATATTTTTTTCATCTCACAATATTCACTCAGAGAAGTAAAGGGAATTTGAAAATAAATTTTGTAACACGAAAAGATTTAATTCTTTCCTAAGATATAATATAATTAAATATTCTTTCCTTTCTTAAAGTTTCTCTTTGTTATTACTTTTTTATACACGAAAATTTAATTTGTAAAAGAGTATATTACTTTGAGAGTTTTAGCGTTAATAAGTTGGAAATTAAGAAGAAGTATTTATATGTTTGCGCCAAAATATATTTTAATTAGGTATAAATGAATATTAATATAATTAAATCAAATATATTTTGATTTTCTGTCTTGATGTGTTAAAAATACTTTTTGTACATGTTTTTTCATTTCTTCATTAAATTAAAATATCTATTCTGCTAACTTCGATAAAACATATATCGGTATTGTATATTATCAATATTTAAATGTTCATATATGTATATTAAAAATAAGGTGCTTTTCTTATTTATTTTTCGTATACATAACTTAAGATTTTGCAAATTCTGATTGACACATTCTTATTTGGTACATCTTTAAAATCTAGAAGAAACAGACTTGCTTTGATTGCTATAATTGTTCGTGATGTAATTATATTGTATTAGCGATCATTTGCTATTTAAAATTCAAGGGCCGAGATAAAAACATACTGCACAAGCACATAATTATTATTGTTTCTCATTTCTGTGGTTAATATTCAACATGCGGGTGAATTAAGTACGTATTATTATTTATATTGAAGTACGAACAATAAAACACAAAAGTATTTTTTGTCATTACAATATTCTTTCTTTAAAGTAATTGATTCGGACTTTTTATATGAAATAATATATAACTACACTTGTAAAGGCTTGTTCCTTGAAAAATATAATAGTCACGAAATCCTCTCTTAAGATAGTCCTCTTCTAGTAACGTTGGAGCAAACAGAAAAGGCTCAAGTGGCATCATCAAGTAATTAAAGGCGATTGATCGAGGATCTGTCACTAGCGGAGATAGTAAAAGAAACATAAATTTTTCTGCCTTCCCTATAAACATAATCCTCTTCATTCCGAATGTGGATAAAGTTTAACAATTAATATAATAGCATCAACAATCAATGACTTTATAAAATTTAATCTTTCTTTTTTCTGAGACTCATTTTCTTTAAATAAATATAATGTATATATACATGGGAATTTTCTTACATGAAAACCGTCCTCAACTGTTTGACATAAAAATATAGTGCTAACATTTTATAGAAACAAAAACCGCATATCGATGTCATATTTATTTGGTTTGTAAAAATTGAGTCATTCCTTAAAACAATTATTCAATTGGAAATAATTACGTAAAAGATATTCACTCATTGTGTTATAATGAAGTTGTTTGTTGATTTCGAGTAAGTTTTATCAATTATATCACATTATAAATATGAAAATCTGTAGAAAATTAACTACTATTGTTATAACACGACGTAACAAAGCATTAGTTACGCCAAAGCGTCAGTCTGTTATGACTCCATTTTCGTTAATAATATCAGGCATTACATTGTTACAGGTCACCGGCCCCCTATAGCGACCGATCCCCGCCCTCATCAGGGTGGTGGAGGACAGTGTTATATAGATCTAAATAGGTACACATACCTCCTAAATTGTATTATGTATATAAACGTGTGATCTTAGTATAAAAAGTCTATGTCGTAAATTACAAATTATTCATACAATTTCGCAAGCGGAGACGTAACTTAATGATAAATTATGTTTCTTATTTCGACACCTTCTTACGGCTTTGACAAATCTTAAGAAAATCGTCAATATATATTCAAGGATATACAAAATAATAATATAAAAATCTATGGGTACAATACAAATTACAATCTATTCGAAATGCAATATATGTACATAAAATAATACATAGACTTTTAGTTTCATATTTATTGACAACAAATTATTAAACAAACTATGCTTAAATTATTGATAAGAAAAAACTCTATTGTATGTAATGAATATAAGTACAAAACATTAAAATCCCCTACCGTTTTTGTTACAGGTAACCGCTATTTCTTTCATGGATAAAGTAAATTTAAAAAATAGAAGTAGTAACTAAATCTTTTTATAAGCCGTAGTATATACATAGTTTAAATAATATAATGAATTATTTAACATTGCATAAATTATTGTCATATGTTTTAACTAGTCTTCGCGTCTTTTGAGCCGAGACGCGAAAACTAGTTTTTTTTTATGTAGAATTATAATAAAAAAATTATTATTGATCAATAGGGTCCAATGAAACAATGTTAAATTAGCGGCAATTTGTATATAAATCATTATTATTGTTATAAGTCTTCGCTTTTATCGTTCTTTTTTTAAATAAGCATATTTGTATTAAAAGTTTAGTCTACTAAACTTACTTCAAAATAAATGTAAACTGTGTAAACGTGTTCATTTATAACTTAATAAAAACCTCTTTTTAAAATTTCTTTTTTTAATAGCGATAAGTTTTAATATCATTTAATCTTGTCCTTGATTTATTTCAAAGAACATATATATAACAAAAATATCGCTCATTTCCGAATTGTCTCCTTTATATCTTGAATTTTGCTTTCAATTATTCCTATGGTTTTTAAAAAGAAATATTTAATAGTATTTTCAGTATTCACTGGTACATTCTTAAATAGCAGTGGCAATATATTATAAAATTAATGAAAACAATCAAAAGACACCAGAAATAACTTGCAGACTGACTTTTTCCATTGGAATATAAATAAAATAAGATAGATTTTTATCGTTTTTGTGTATTATAATATTATCTTAAATGTTTATCAGATGATTTGCTATGCTTTTTAGTTAACGGTTTCAATAAAAAATAACCATGTGAACCTTGAATATATATTTAGGTGGATTTGATATTTTTGTGAAGTTTCTAATTTATTTTTGTAACAACGTTTCCAATAGTTTATTATCTTTCTTAAAATAACTATTATATATATCGTTGAGATTTGCTGGCAATGTTTGTGTAGTACACCATTTCTTTTTTGTGTAAGCAGCCTTAAATACAAGAACAAAATATTTAATTTAACAAGAAAGCAAATAATCTTTTAAAAGTGTTTTCTTTTAAAATATATTAAAACTACAATTTACAAATATTTATTACTGTTTTTTTTCCTTCTTTACATCATCAAAATAATTGTAGATAAGATCTAGCTCTCAGAACCAATTACCATAATATGAAAATTCATGGAAAACAGACTTCCACGCCTATCAAATTAATTAGTTTATGGAACATGGCGACCATTATTAATATACATCATGTGGAAATGTGGCAACTTGTGCCCAAGGGATCTTTTATAATTTATATTTAAATGTAGCTATTTAAGTATGATCAGGTATAATTATTTAAATTTTAAGCTTACAAAGGTTTGGGATGTATTTATTAAATTATTTGGAATGTTTTTTAATACGTTTAGTTTTAATTTCTTTGTAGTTATGGTTAATTACACTGGTCAACAAAAAAATAAAAGTTGTTTGTTTCCTTTAATGTTTTTCTTGTTTCTATCTTAAATTGACGTATATTTTTTAAATTTCGAAACAGTTTTCCTGTAACAGCTTTTGTTTTTGAGTTACAGCTAACTACCCTCATTTACTACTTTCATCTACATATGCATTTTTTATTCGACACTGCAACATATTTTGTTGCTGTTTTCGATATGGCTTCGTCAAGAAGATGTTGTGTGCTTAATCCCGACTCTTTTTGCTATATTTGTAGTGAATATGTATTTGCAAAGTATCGAAAACCTATGTCGAACTTGTGAAAAATGTGTATCAACAACACTTTAAAATAAAATTGTTTAATCAGAACAAGCCGTGGATTCCTCATATTGTATGTCAAAAATGTGTTGTATGGCTACAATTGTGGTCCAATGGAAACAGAGATGCAGTAATATTCCAAACACAGGTGGTCAGGTGCGAGAACCTGAAAACGATCATGACGACTGCTACTTTTGCGTTGTGAAAGTCAAAAAAATTAATCCTGGCAATCGAAATAGGTGGCCACATCCTAAATTATCTTCTGCCCAACGACCCCAATTAAAATCATGAGAGGTACAACCTGGCAAATCTAAATCTTCTGATTACCCGAATCCCTGTGAACCCGAACGAAATTCATCAAGTGAAGATTCTTATTCAGTCTACAAATCTAGCCAAGAACCTCAAGAACAGATCACACAACTCGTGAAAGATTCTGATTTTGTCAAATCAATGACTAAAGTGGAATCGAAACCTTAGAATTCATTTTTTTGGTTATTAGTAATTTCTTAGTCAAAAATAAATCTGACGACTACGTGGAGCTTGTTGAGGCCATGCTATCGAATTTGGAACAACTAGGGTGCAACATTAGCATAAAAATCCACTTGCTGCGCTCGCATTTAAACCGATTTCCAAAAAATCTGGATGATTACAGTCAAGAGCAGGGTGAAAGATTCCTCCAGGGTCCAGGACGTTGGAAGAGCGTTATCAGGGGCGGTGGGACTCACATATGATGGAAAAATACTGCTGGAGTTTGCAACGAAATCTATCTGAAGTCGTTCAGTCAAAAAATTCCTATAAAAGATCATTTCATTGTATTTTATAAAACATTTTGTATTAATTTTCTGAATTTTTGGTCAAAATAAAAAAATATTATATTTCAAAAACTAAAGCTGTTAGAATTTTTTTAGTATTTTTTTCATATTCAGGGACATAGAAATAACTAATAACAGTGAAAAAAATAAAGGAAACAAAATATGTGTTGGGCCACTGCCCAATAATAACACTTATTATCATGGAACACTATAAATTTTGGCGAAATTAAAATTATTATGAATTACATTTAA